TCCGAGGCGAGGATGAGGATGGCGCCGACTTACGCCGGTTCTCTTCACCACCTTCACGTTCCTGCTGGGTTTTCGTCGCCAGTTCTTGAGCAAGAAAAGCAGCGGCTGGCAGCCGGGAACGGCACCGGTGACTCTCTAAACTCGTTTCGCTGTGTTCGGGTGTAACGGTGTTGGTGCCAGCCTGCCGAACCGTCCCTGAGCCCGGGATTTTGCCTTATTGCAAAGTCAGCTCGATAGCCATGGCCTGGAGTCTCTCCGGCTCTGGGTGGGAGCTGGCAGCATCCCACTTTCCTACCTCCAGTATAGGACCAGGTGGCTGCTGCAGCCTACTTCAAAACGTGAGTGAGATTGCGGAGCCGATGAAATGTAATTGTTGACCTGCCCGTTACGTGGAAAGCAAGTATCTTACAGCTGAGGTGTGTAGGGCTGACTGGTGGTGAAACACGGAGACAATGTAGCAAAATCTGATCGAGTGTGGGGGTGAACGTTCAAAAATAGTTAACTGCTATTAGCTCATTTTTGAGCCGACCGCTACACTCTGAACACGTACTTTAGTTGCTGTATAGTGCTAGTCATCAGCCACCTGAGACCAGCGGTGACTACGAATACTATGTCCCCTGAACTGCATTTCTCACTAAAAACCATCTTTAAAATACCATCCAGTAAGTGAAACTTTACTGGGGCTGTGGGTCACAAAGCCTACCCATAACTGTAAGGGTAGTCGTCTTACGTGACAATGATAGGATGAAAGGTGCTAATCTTAACTAAGAACCTTGGCCTTTGCAGGTATTGCTGTCTTACAGCAGCTTACTTGGGCTTTAAAAGGGTACAACTTAGAATTTTTATATATGTGTATATATAAAACATATATATTTTGCTCTCTCAACTTGGACAGGAATTCCTTATTTGTCACAGCATGACCTTCAAAAATAGATTTGCTAGTAATTAGAGCCTGTTTCAGCTGGCACAGCTCTGTTTCAGTGCAGAAACCAAGCAGCTGAATTTTATGCTGAATTCAGGCTGACAGTAATTTTACTGAGCTTGGTACTTCAGTTGGGGCTGTATACTGCACTACTGCAGATAAATGGGACTACCAGGCCTAACCTGCTCAGAGCCTAAGTGAGTATCTTATATACGTGCCTTATATACAAAATAAAGCCAAACACTGCAATATTTATCTGCTGTCACGACTTAGGGTTTAGCGTATTCACCTAATACTTGCTCCGAATTAAACTGAAATTGTTAAATGGGGTAATTCAATGTACATAGATTGCTTTAATAAAAACTATTTGTGTACCAAATGTCAATATAGACAGTCCACTAATGCTCACTTTTTTCCTTAGAAATGTAGATGAGAGCTATCTATTAATAGCATTAAATTAGTTCTTTCATTTTTACATATAAAATTAATTTTACTCCTAACAGCAGTGTCAAGTTAAACAAATCTTAGACAAGGTGGAGCTGTAAACTAGCAGGTAGAGCGTAAGGATTCTACATGCAGCACTAGTCAAAGAACCTGACCTGAAGAGTACAGAAGTATATTCCCATTAAGTAACTTTATCCATTTTTCCAGCAGTAGTGGGTCATGGTGTTGTGGACTGGGAAGCTTCTGTCTCTCCTGCTATGCTGTCACCTTCTAAGATTTTATACAAAAGGTAGTTAATTATCCCACTTCCTTACAACTTTTTGTGCGTATTCCATGATCGTGGAATATTTTAAAACTTACTTAATTAAAAAAGCTGCCCCTTGATGGAGAACATTACTTAATACCAAATACCATAGCGATTTGCGGAGTTAACCAACCATCAGAGGAAAAACAAGCATATTCTCTTTTGTCTAGATAAAGCTGTGTTTCCTATTATTGGTGCACTCTAACTTGTTTGGGTAGAGGACTGTGGTTTAATTAAGGACTAAAGCTCATCCTCTGAATCGCATATGCTAACTATTAGACAAAAGTCACTTTCAGCCCCTTAAAAATATATAGGGCTTGTTTGGAAAAAAAAACCAAAACAACAAAACTTTCCCCTTTGCTAATGATTAAATCATTGCTATTTATCATTAAAACTTCAGGATAGATCCTAACTCCCAGATGTATACCAAAAGTGACCAAAGCCCTTCTTCAGATAGAGGTAAAAAGCAATTTCCACCCCCCGGCAGCAAAGGTGAAACTGTCACATCAGGTGCATCTCAGCTGTTTCCCAGTTAATTCCTTGAAGACTATTCTGCCTCTCTAGAGCCCCATGACAGGGATTTTACAGGCTAATGATCAGAGTTAATTACTATAATTTTCAGATGCTATTTTATACACTACAAATTAAAAACTAAGAAAAAAAAATCCTACTCGTGACTGAACCAAGAGAACGTCAGTTAAGCATCCATGCTTTGATCCCTTTAAATCCTACTTGTGACTGAACCAAGAGAACATCAGTTAAGCATCCATGCTTTGATCCCTTTAAATGAGATAGGCCATCAGGACTTAAGCCAGTCTTTAGTAAATTTGACTGTATGAGAAGTCAAATAAAATAGCTGCCCTGTATGGCTATGTTGTTGCAGTAGCCTTGTCAGCTGTAGAACTACATTGCCATATTATCCTGAATTATAACATGAAATGCAAGGTGGCACAGAGGGAAGCCCGATCGTGGTATTTTTCATTATACATTATATCCTATACTTTTAATGTAGGACTTTCCTGAGAGCTGGCTTTAGAATATGTACTTACGTGATAAAACTTTCACTGAGGCTTAAGGTATTAAAGGAGCCTTTTGATTACTTGGTGACTGGAGATGATCCGTATGAATGATTTGTGGGGAAAACAGAAACTCATGCTTGGTAAGCAGCTTTATTATGAAATGTCGGGAATGGCAATAACCCTTCTTCCTCATTTCCCTCCCCTAGTAAAAATAGGAAACAATATCCTAAAGAAAAAGATACTTAAAAAAATGTTAAGATGAAAGTGATCAGCTATCAAGGTTTGCACTTCAGTATTTGAATGCACCAGACTCTACTGAGCACCCGTATCTTTAAGCAATGCATCCTACAGCCATTGTAAAATATACACATCCATATGAATCAAGCTGCTAAACTTCTTTCTTCCTCAGTTTCTATAAACAGATGCTGTTTTGAACAAAAATATTTGACTTCCCCAGGTGAAGCGTAGAATGACAGTATTTGTCATGATGTCTATTTTGCTAGCAGTCCAGCTTATAACTCACACTATGTCTATGACAACTTTTTCTAAATGGTGTTCCACGTTTTTCTCTTTCAGGATGGTAGACTAGCAAGCAGCGGTGATTTCCCGTGTTTTGGAATTTTAACGTCAGCACCACTTGTAATCTGTAGACAGCTGTGGCTAAAGGTGAAAGTTCTCTATACATGATAAACCAAAAAACTAGGAATCAGCTATTAGTATTTTAAACGGTTGAGATTTCAGGAGGTAGTTCTGTTGCTCCATCTGATACACAAGTTTGCCTAAAGACAACCCTCTTTATAGTAATAGGTGAGTAAAGAATCACACACTGTGTTGATTTTTTGTTAATTTTTGCACAAATTACATTCTGTATTCATACAAAAACAACGTAACTCTTCTGACAAACTGTACATATAGAAACAAGTTTCTGTCTGGAGGTGAACTGAAATTTGTGGAGGTGCTCCATCTCTTACAACACTTAAAAAAAATCCAGCTCTTCACAAAACAAAGTAGGTAAAAGAAGGTGAGGACAACAGGGGTGGAGAGGAGAAAACAGAAAGCTAGCTACAATATTGCAGCTAGTAGCAGTTGACTGATCTAGGAAAAGACCCTTGTTAGGAACTAATGCACATTCAGTTATCCCAGTTAAGAATCCAGGTTTATGGTGTTGCAGGTTACTTTTTTAGTCCAGAGTAGCAGTCCATTTAAATATTGTCCAGCAAGGACTGGGTGTGACCCAGTCAAAGCCTCTTCTACCGGCCTCTTCCACCACCCCTAGATCCTCCTCTTCTCGATTGACCAGAGTTCATGTTACTTCCTCTTCCCCAGTTACTTCCACTCCTTCCTCCTCGAGAAGGATTATTGCCTCCTGCAGGGCCTCCACCAAAACCTTCATCCCTGTGGAATCCATCGTGATGATCTCCATCTAAAGAACTAGACCTCCCAGATTTTGGCGCTCTCTGTGAAGGTCCTGAGTTTCCTCGTCCTAAAAATGAAGCACAATCAGTTACTGATGTTGGAAGTCTAAGCCATGCCTCTTCTCAGACATACCATATATTTAGCTAGGTTCTTCTGTGGTATAATCATTCACAGATCAAATGCGGTTGACACCTGTAATTTTATGCCTCCTCCCTCCATACAATTTTTCCTATACAGATTTAGTGTCTCCATTACACTCCAGAAGATGGGCAGCAATCAAGCAGTTCCTTGGGAATTAAAGGAGATTATATCTGATAGAGTCAGCAACCACTTAAATGAAGTAAGTTAGAACAGTGATAGTCATGGTGTCCTCAAAACTGCCAGGCATACCCGATTCTTATGCTTTAACACTATCTGCAGTTCTCTGTATATTTTTATTGCAAAATACTTTTTTTTTTTCCCTAAACAAACACATTGCACTGATGGATCAGTTGAGGTTGGTGGTGAAGACAGTGAGTAACATTACTGTTTTGTTCAATTTTTTGCTAGAAATAATGGAAAGATGCTCTATTTTACTGCTAACCGGGATCATAAACTACATGAGCTCTTACTGCCACGAACAGGATTTTCTACTTCTCACAGATCTTTTTAGTACTGATACGTAAATTAACATAAAAAACCCTGAAGTCATTAGCTCAAAATAACAATCAGTATTTTGGGAAAAAAAAAAACCAAAATGGTAACGGTGCTTCATGGACACATGCTACAGCTAAATTAGGATATTTTTGCTCCACTCTTGCTAGAGTGATTTTTTTGTTGACTCTGCTTGGTTCTGTGTAAAATCAGAGACCAAATAGTTCCACAGAGTTTATACAATTCATGAAGTTGTAATCTTCAAATGACTTTACCAATACAACTGAAGGTGACATAGCCGGTATATGAAAAAGTATTGTTCATGTTTTGTTTATCAGGCTTTCTGCCATTGTTCTAAACTTGCTACATTAATGAGTTGTCTAGGCACAAGAAGTGTGGTAGTTAACAATTGTTTTGTCTTCAGTAAAGAATCTGATAAAGATATCACAAATTATTATTGAAGCTGGAGAAGGAATCCTTACAGATTTGATAAGGTGCTGGCTAAATGAGAAGGCAACATACAGTTTTGAAAGGAAAAATACTGATACAGAGGGAGTTTACCAGCACAGTTTTATTAAAAATATCTGTGAACGAATGATAAAACCTGCTGTTCATACAACACTGGAAATACAGTCCACGCAGAGGAGGACTGCCATACAGTTAAAACGAAATGAGCTTCAGGAAAACAATAAGAGAAGTGGAATGAAATTCAGCGGCATCAAAGACAAAACTGTGCAGTAGAGGTCTAACAACAAAAAAATTCAACAATAGGCTGGCAGGCAGCTCAGCATTTGGCAGCAACTGAGAAGGATCTTTCTCACTGATCACTACCTAACAGTGGGTAGTCAATATGAGGACACTAAAAAAAAATAGACAACATTAAAAAAAGACATCAACCCTGAGATTTATAAGAAGAAAAAGGATCAAGAACTGGTGCAAGGCTAATAGGATGATTGTGGGAATGGCATACAGAGCCAAATGGCTTTGAACCAGCTACTAACTCCAAAAGAATGTATTTTGTGGGTTACAGTAGCTAGTTGCATGACAGTGCCATGTGACTGTTTAGTAGTTAGTTAAAGAGGGAAATATGACATCAGGAGCTATTAAGAAAGAATGGAGAACTCGGAACACAACCAAGTGAACTGTACAAATCCATGGTTAAACCACATCTTAAATAGTGTGTGCAATTCCTACTTACCCCATTTAATGTACAAAAGGATAAAATAAAACTTAAAATAGTATATACAGAGTAGTAAGGACAGTAAAAGATACAGAACGACTTCCCAGAGAGAACAACTAAACAGATCAGAGCTCCGACTTCGAGAAGAGCTAGTTCAGGTTGGAAGTGGTAGAGTTCCGTGCAATCAGAGATGGCATTCAGAAATAACAGGGATCAACTTTCAGCTGTTCCAGTTAAAACACAGACATCTTCAAATGAAATTAGTGAATGATAGGCTTAAAACAAGATAAAAACATTTTCCTTCTTTTTTTTTAAAGCATAGTCTACCGCAAGTAAGTTTTAAAGCTCTGTCCATTGATGTTGTGGATGTCAAATGTTTGTATGATTCTTAAAGGAAGCACACAAAAGATAACTGTCAAAAGCCATTAAATATAAAAATAATACTTCAGTAACTCACTGAACTACAGATCTTCATAGGTTTAGAGAGCACTTCAGCATACCACTACAGACTTACAGTGTTCTTAACACTCTCCCCTCAGTATGTGCCACTGGCTGTTGTTGAAGACAAGCTACTGAGCTTTATGGACTTACGGTCTGATCATGGATGGCCACGTTTACACTCATGTAAGCTACACGAGTAGAGAACTCTCTACTACATTCCAATAGAGACTCGTAAGGAAGGACTTAAAAAAAGTCAGGGTTCATTAAGTCCAACAGAATGAAGGCTGAGACAGGAAAGTTATTTGAGTTCAAGCATGCTAGCACAAGCACAGCTAAATTATTGACAAATAACTATTCTGAAAATTAGAGGGGAAAAAAGCTCTTAACAAGAGTATTCCAGTGGGAGTAACAGGGAGCCAAAAACTAACTGCTTTTGAACAGGGCAGTAAAGAAGAGGATTATAGGATGCTGGAGAGAAGATTCGGATTTGATGTCCCAGAAAATCCCTCTGTTCTTATGTTCCTGTAAGATTGGTCTTCAGCTTCACAGCTGGTAAGCTCAAATATTTACCAGTTCAGCTTCATCCCCTCTGAACAGATAAGGAATTCTGGATAAGCCCCCAGCTGAAAAATGTGCGAGTGTTACATAAGGTTTTCAATACAAGGGGCTTTTTACCTTTGCCCCTCTCCTCTGGAGGTCCACCTGGAGCATCCATTTCTCTGTGGTCAGAGGTCCCTGGTCCATCGTGCCAGGGACGTTTACGAGGTGGCAATGAGGCCATGTCCATGCCCTGGAGCGAAGAAGAACGTTCTCTGTTAGCTGGAGAATGCCCGTCATGAGGAGGGTGATCTGGACGAGGACCTGAGCATGAAGAGAAAAAACAAGATAATAAGTAATGTTCATCTAATCATTATTCCTCATTTTTGGAGGCAGTCACATAAGTTTACATACTTTCCACGCTATTTGGCACACAATTTTAAGTTAAAATCGCATAAAGCTTCCCTCCCATCCCAACAGGCAGACAAGCAAACATTAGACAAATAAGTTGTAAGAAAGCTAAAGGCAAAACAGGTTTAAAAGATGATGGGAAAGAAAGAAGTGACAGATCTAAAGTGTTCTTTTCAGTATAAAGTATTTTCATATATTTTAGAGACAATCACATCTTCATTTATTCATGTGTCATTTGTACTCTTTTTTTCCGTGGCATTCTAAAACTCACTTTTGCCCCTTATGGGGTTGCCATTAGTAACACAAGTGTAAATACCAATAAGCTGTCAGACATTGCAGCTGAGAACATTGTTTTTGCAAACAATAGAGAAGATGCCACCCAAGAGAAAGATTGCTATCGGCATTAATGTATGTATCACCGCCCCCGCCCCCCCCGAGATAGTGTTCAGTCATCCACATGTGGCAACAACAGGTAATTCTGGGCTGTACAAAAATTCAACTTAAAATCAAGACTTGAGGACACAGCCATTTTTTGTTCAGTGAGACAGTTGCATTTAGAGCCAGTTGAATTCTGTACTTAATTTTTTCCTAAATTTAGAAGCCCAAAGCGCTACACTTTGCTTTTCTCATGGTAAAAGACTGGTAAAGAGCATATGAGGAACAGGAAAAAGAGGTGATTTAAAAAAAATTTTTTTGGTAAGCAGTTATATTGTAGAAGTCTAGTCTATTAGCTAAAACGGACCTCACCAATTTTTTTACCTGGTTCTCTGTTTCCATCCCAGGATTCTGGTTTCCGCCCTCCTTCAAAGCGTGGAAATTCATCTGGAGTAGGAAGTAAACCCTTCCGGCCTCCTGAGCAGTAAGAGATGCAGGGGACAGGAGTGAGAAGAGACATTGTATTCATGAAAATACTGTAATTTGCCCAGGAAATGTCTTTGCTTCTTTATCCTTGCATTTCAGTGTGGAAGAATGTTCCCCTCACCTCTAAGAGCACCGCGACCTCGCCCCCGAACACCATGGTCCCTTCCTCTTGAGTTTTCATCTGGAGAGTCAAAAGGATCATCTGGCCCAAAATCTTCAGGGCCAGGAAAGCCATCTCTCCCCCTGGGTCCCCGGCCCTCATGTCTTGAGGGTCCTCCTCTTCTGAAGCTACAAGAAAGAACATGGTACAAATGCGGTTTTTAGGCAGAATTTAGATTGATAAACTTGAGTCAGCTTCAGTTTAATAATCAACTTTCTGAACTGTTTTACTTAATACTATAGCACATACAGTTACTAGAATAGGATTTGTAGGTGGAAAAGTGCTCATTTTCCACCTTTGAGAACTTCGTTTATTCATTTATGTAGTTTTCCCTCATATTTCCTTCTGTTGGTTGTGTTGGTTTTTCATACAAGAAAAGTATTGTCAAATATACTGTGTTCATTTAATGTAAAGGGGAGGGGGGGAAATCAGTGAGTGATGATAGACAGAAGGTAAGCTAAGGAAAAGTATAAGTGAATTTCCCTTAACTGTGGTGGTCTTAACTTTTCCCCTTCCCTTTTTTCCCCTTCCATTTTAGTGATAAAAACAAAGTGGAAAACAATACAAGCAATGAGAGTCATGGCTGTAACAAAACATTTCAGGATCTCATTCCTATAGATTTGGGATTCTTTTGCTAGAACATTCTCTTTTTTGTTCCATTCTTCTAAGTTTACAATTTTAGCACATGAATCTAAACTGCACTTGGCTCTGTAGGGATGATGTTTGCTGAACAGCATGCACAGTGGCATTCTACAACCTGAAGAGCAGTTTATCCAACTGCAATAAGGAAGAATTTTGTTTTGCAAAATGTAGTTACAGCACTAAAGTTGATAATTCCCTTCTAGTAAGTACCATATCATCTTCAGTAATTTGGTATGACTGGGTTCTGCATCTCATCTTAAATGAGTATAGCTCCTCCAGTATCACACTGGGGTTTTAACGGAGATCTTCAGAGAGAAGAATGGTTCTTAATGAACTGTCCGTGCCATTTCAGGTAAGCCTGTAGATGGCTGCATGAACACTAGTAGTTTTGGTTTTTACATTACCAGTTTAAACACTTGGAGTGCTTGTAAAAGTGCATACATGTTTCTGTGTATTACGGCAACTCCAAAAATGTGCACTAGCACCAGTTATGATTGTCAGTTTACAGCCCAGTTTCTGTGCAAGCACAGGTGAGATGTTTAGGTGGTGCAGGCACACTGGTTCAAAGAGTCCTCAGAGTGCGACCCCACGCTGCTCCTGCCCACCCCTCAGTGACAGCACACGTAATGCGGAGCGCTCTCTGCGCATTCACACTGATGCCCCCCACCTCCCCTCTCTTCCCAGTTCCACACTGGCCAAACCGTAACCACCGTAATATTCAGATGGTGTTGGCTTTATGCAACATCCCCTTCCCCAGCTCATTAACGACACAGTGCATCCTATTACAAGCAAAACTTTAGATACTTTTATTTAGAATTTTAACAACATTAACCTTTTAATTACAAATTTAAATATTTTAACAGTAGTCATAACACAATACAGTATTTTTAAACTTTTACATTTTTTTTTAATTAAAAACAATAGGTCTGTCTCCACCTCCCAGAAAACAAACACAATACAGAGAGGAGGCTGCTGTGCCTGTATAGGTACAACAGTGGATGGAGGGAGTGCTGTGTATGGACAATGAACCATTTTACATTAACCTGGACGATTTGGGAAAACAAACTGAACAGTTTCAGGTACGAATGGTTCAAATAATCACATAGCAATATTGTTTAGCCTTGAAACAGCACAGTCCTCTAGATGTTCTTTAGAGGGCCTCCCATTTTAATACTGACATGGTGTGATTCTGCTTAGCTTGAAAATTACCAAGATTTGCAACACAAGGTCCTACGGCTAGCAGGAATAGGGCCTTTCCTTTTGTTTCCAGGCAATGTTATGGACACAGTTTTAGTTTTTTAATCTATCATACCTATGCCTGACATAGCCACAGCTCCTAATACTGTGTTATGTATATCCTTTTCCACTTTTTCATATCAGTCACATGTAAAACCCTGCCTTGCATAGGGCTCAGTTCCTGTTTGACTGCTCTCAGATCTTCTTCCTTGAGGCCTAGGACCTTAAAGTACACTGTGAACTACACACTGTGCAGATTAGCAGGCTGGAAGAGGCAGGTCTCTGCAGTAGAAGCATCATGTTGATATGCACAGGTAGAGTAAGAACAGGACAGGGATGAAAAGGACGGGAAATTAGAGAGAAACACACATACACACACTTCCCTCTCATGCTTGATCAAACCAGTTACAATCTAAATTCCAAACCAAGTCAGCTAAAGGAGTGGTTGGGATTCTTAAGTTCACCTCAGCATCTGCAGTAAATGGCACCTAATTCAGCTTCATTCAAAGGAATTCATTAAGTTTGCAAGCACAATAAGCCTTTTATAGCCCTGTGCCGATTCCTTTTAAATCCAGCTCTCTGTACCAACACTTGTACTCTGACAAACAGACTCTTCTTAGTTCAGAAGTCAGATTTACAGGTCACAAAGTTCTTGGACTGTCTTCCTGAAACCTTTTTAAAAATCAGGATCATAATAAAATATTTTCCAGTCCCTAAGCATTTCCAATGTAAGATCTGAAAATCTCTACTGAGCTTCTAAAAGTGTTGTCTGCTGTGTCTTTTAGAATTCTATAATGCAGACCATTCAGCTTGGGTTCTCTCTATTTTTACTTTTTTAAAATGGCTTTAATTGTTACCTTCTTTTAGTTACTGTTCATTTCTTTTCATACTCTTCACACAAAAGGAAGGTACATCTTTACAGAGCTAGGTAGAAAATAGCTAAAAGAAGAGCTGTATAGATGCAAAGTAAAAGGAATGTAAGAAAATGATTAAAAAGGCAACTAAAACACACAAAATTCACATTATGTGGAGACCACAATATATTTGTACAAGTACACGTTCTTATACATTTAGAGTTGGTGGTCAGTGAGAGGCTTAGACCTTGGAGGCCAAATTTAACTCAGTTAAACTAGCATAAATCTGGAGCAATTTCGTTGGCAGTTAATCTTGCTGACTTAGCGTAATTCCTCCATATTTACATTGGTAACTAGAAGCAAATTCATCCCTTTGTGATTTATTTGGAAATTGTGAGCAATGACATGGACATTGCTGCAAATTAGATTATTTTTTGAGTTCTTCACTTGGCATTAAGAAATAAGTCAGAAAGAGAAATAAAATTTCTACAAGCAAAACCATGAGAAAATAGTCTCAACAGTCCAACAGATGCTGTAGCTCTGTCCCTTACATTTGACAGTAGGATCACTGTTCCTGCTCCTTACAAGTATATTACATCTCATTCTACAGTCATGCTGTAGTTTGTGACTGGAGACAGAGTCTCAAAATCCACTTCTAGTGTTCAAAAGTTTGTCACTTTAACCTTCAAGTTTCCTCTCAATTTTCATCAAAACGGTCTCAAATCTTCATCCTGTGTCACTGGATCTTCTCTACAAGTTTCCTCCCTTCTCTTTACTTACTGTTTAAAGACACGGAAGCTGCTGTGTACAATGACCATTTTTCAAGTTTTCTTCTATTACTGAATGATTTTTATGGACTCTATACTCAGGTATATTAGAGTTTTCATTTCCTTATTGGTTTCCAGTTTATAAATCTGAAACAGATAGACTCCTTAATGAAAAGGAAACCAGGAAGAAAGAGTTCCCTCCATTTACCCTTTAACCCAAAAAAGATGAGTAGATTTATTCTTACCTCTCATCTCGTCTTCCTCTGAACCGTGCATCCTCAGGATCCCGTGGATATCTATCATCTGAAGGTCTCCGTCCTTCCCAAGCACCAGGAGGCCCACGGTTTGAACCCCCTCCTTCAAATTCCCTGTGATCAGGAGGAAAGGGAGGCCCAGGTCCACCTCGTCTCCATTTTTCATCTTGCAGTGGTGGGCCTCCTCTCCCCTCAAATTCCCGTAATCGATGGCCAAATCTCTTATCTGGATGGAAGTCGTCACGGAAGTCATCTGGTCGATCAAAGTCATCATGGAAATCTGGGTGAGGTCCTCGTCTATCTGGCATGCCCCTGCTGTCTCTACCATCACCCCACTCCTGGCCACCTCGAAACAACCCTCTCTCAGGCCCATGATCAGGACCACCACTGTTCTGGTCGTGCCTTCTATCTGAGAGAGGGCCCATGTGATGGTTTGGTGGACCACGGGAGTCACCTTGAGGGAAAAAATCATAGCAGATTTCTGTAACTTTTTCTAAAAATGCTCTAGGATGCTCTAGTTCGTACAGTTCTATAAAACATACACCATACATTTCACATTAAATAATTTTGGGGGGAAAACTTTTCCTCTATATTCCAGCCCAAGTCTATGGAAGCTTTCCTCTCAACCAAGGCCCTGTGCTCTGCTGTAGCCTTTTCTGTCTAGAGGCACTGCACTGGAACAGCCTCTTTTAGGAGAATTACTCACAGAAGAACAGACAACATATTTAATTACCTTTATTAAGACCAGGTCCTTGGTTGTGAGGGCCAAGACGACCTTGTCCTCCCTGCTGCCCCAGTCCTGGTATCAGTGGTGGAGGACCTGGGTTCTGTCCGTCCTATGAGCATACAATAGGAAAAGCCATGTGAATTGCCACGCATGAGTGTTTTTGCTTTTAAGTATTTTGTAAGGGGGCAAACCAATTTTCTTTACATAAAGACTGCATCTGCAGAGGTCTTATAATAATAGAAACAGCTGATTTTCCAGTGGTTTCAGCCTAATTTTTCAGACGTTCACATCAGTAATGCTTTTCAGTCACTGTCTGAGAAACACATAATTTTATAGGAAACTTGGCATTTGAAGGGCCCGTAACAACCAAAGATGATGAAGCTCATATTCTAGCTGCCTGTTAAGAGAAGATGAGGAAACTGTATATTTGTTTGAAAAATATCAAGTACTGATCTATATGCACTTAAAGAACTGCACAGACCAAAGACTTCCTTTGGAAACGAACAAAAAAAATGAAACCATGAAAAAAAAAAAAATATCAAGAATGTTGGGACAGGGGGGACAACAACAGGGCCGTAAGAGAACCTCTCCTATAAACCTCTGTAAACTGTTAACATGGAAACACATGAGTTTCATTTTTAACATGCTGGCAAAGTCTGGTTTTCTTAACTCTAATTCTAGGACCAAAAGAAAGTACTCATACTTGGCTAAGCACCAAGAGACAAGTCGTTAATGGGTTATTGAGCAACAACAGGGCTAAAGGCAGAAGCTACAGCCACTTGCTTTTCTCAAGCAGAAACAGTAGAGTGAGCAGAGGTTTGTGTAAGTTATATGATACCAAAGAAAAAATAAAGTACATATAAGTCTTTTGTTATTTTCTCTCTTTTTTGTGATTTTTTAAAGAATAAAATGATGTTCTTTAAATTCAGCTACTGTCATAGACCCATGAAAGATTTCTACAGGTACCGCGTTTACACTGGACCAACTATGATAACCCTGGCTGGGAAACACTGTGGTTGAACTGTGCAATTCTGCCCTTGAACAGCAAAGGCCAGACAAAAAGTCATCATTTGGGGCTTGTACTTGACTGGAACTAAAAGGGGGCACATACATAATTTGCACTGTAGCAACGAGGTCCAACAATAAACATGTATCACTGTGAACAAGACAGAGTTGAAACTTGCAAGATTGCTATACAAAACCTTTTAATGTTGACATCACCAAAAACGTGTCCCCCCCCCCCCCAACTCATGCCAGAAAACTCTAAACATATAATATTTTTTTCCTAGCCATGTCAAATATGTAAGATTTAGACTTGGCCTTCCTATTGGCTTGTAAAAAACCCTCCAGACTGCAGGTAATTTGTAAATACTTAAAAACCTATACTCCGTCACTGTCATTGTACTCATAATTACACCACTTAATCTCTCCATGTATCAAAGTTAAATTTCATGCTCGACATCTATTTTTGAGAAACACTACCTTTTCTGTTTTCTGGTTGCAGAGAAGCAGTAAGTTCATTTGTGTATTTTTTCCATCATATCTTGAAATACAGGTTTTTAATTAAACATACATATTCAACTGCAACACAGGTGATAAACACAAAAAAGCACACAAATACATACTACAAGCATCACATTTGCATCGAGTAATTCTGTAAGGACTTTGGAAAAAAAAAAACAAAATGACTATTAACAAAAAATACTTTCCTTGTGACTGAATGTTGACTAAAGTCCAGAACAAATAAATTCCCTGACTAGGTAAGGCCCAGCTATCGCAGTGCTTCTGCCATTCTTGAAGAAAACCTTGCTGGAGTTCCATGATTTCTCATATATTTAGCATATGCTTACTTACAATAAACTTTATTGAACTTCTTAAACTTACGCCACTAGTGTTCAAGCAAAGCAGCAGCTTTTAAGCACTCGCTAAATGAGTTTCCTTAATGTTTAGCAAAAACCTCTATTCCAAACAAATCATGCTTTGACAAGATAGGAAGACAGAGCCGTAACACTGTGTTTTCACATGGCTTTTGTTTCAAAGTACATTCTGGGTCCCAAACTGGATTTGAGACTGAAAAACAAGTATGTGCAGCTCAGAAGGAGGTATCATACTAAAAGCTGTAAATGGCATGGTGTACCCCGCACCTCGAGGAGGGTACGTCTGGAGCACCTCACATCACCTCCACCGTTGGCTCAAGGATTCCCCAACATGGGCTGAGGTTCTGCGTAAGTCAGATAAGGTCGGGCAACTGCTCCACGTTACCGGCGTATATGCCCCGTACATGCAAACGGCACAGCCATTTTATGATAGCCATCTGTATCAATTAAAACCATGCACTGAAGGGCAAAAGATTTCTTTGTATCCATCCTTAAGAAAAATTTGCATTTCTTCTAAAATACTGCACAAGCTCCTGAAGTTTGTCTCTACGTGGACAAGAGACTTGGCCTGAAGTATTCGTACCTCACTCAAGCAGTAAATGAGATGAAATTCAGCACATCTATCTACAAGGATGAAGACCACCAAATCTAAATCAGCAATAGCAGAAGAGCTCCACAGTACTACTGCTAACTTGGGAACATTCTATTTATCCATCTGCATTTTAATATCAACATTCCTATCTCCAGAATAAGATTTTGACAATCATATCTCAGGCAATTTCCTTCTCAAACAGTTCACTCTTCCATTTCACATTGGCAGAAGGTAGCAGATTTCACGTTCAGGAAGAGATGTACATCTCACCCACACACTCTGCAGGAAACCTCCACTTTCCAATGTATAGCAGATACAGGTAATAGTGGTGTCTTATATGGAGATTAACCTTTACAAATATGTATAAATGTTCAGTGTTAATGTCACAAGCCCTTGATAAAACAGATCTATATTCATACACTCCTGCTACTGAAAAGGAAGGCTAGTGATTTGTATGAGTTTCCAGAAGATAAATGTCAAATTCAGAACAAAAAACAAGCTAAAGCTTGTTGTTTAAAAAAATCTCAGATAGTAATTCCTATTTAAAAAGTCCCTGTTATATTTATATTACAAAGAAGCATACTGGAGCAAAACCTGACATTACATATTTTAAAATCTGTTCATTTTAAAAAGACATTACCATACTAAAGCTGCACAAGGAAGGAAAAAATGGTCAAAGATACCTTGCTTTGTCTTTTTTTAATATCTGTAAAAGACTTCAAGATAGCAGTATTCATTGAAAATAACCAGCCACCTGTCAAAAGCAACTTACTGAATTCCGACCAGAGTGTTAACAGCAGGGTCAGACAAGGACAGCCCTACACATAAATGTAAAGATACACAAACTTTTACACACACCCACGCTTGGCAAGTATTCTCAAAGCAGAAAAATTCGTCTCCCTGGGATAGCAATGAAAAACACTATGCCAGTTTAAGTTAGATAGTTGTGGAACCAATTCTCATTCGCATCAATTCTCATTGATGCTTTTGAAATCTCAGCAATAGTATCACATTAACAGACTTCTGGAGGGAATTATTGCTGATTTGTAAGGAAAAAAATATTCAAACAAAACCACAATTTGCAGGCTACTCGGCCTCAATCTGAAATGGAATCACTAAGCTCATTTCAGTATGTCATCACTCATCGTGATTGATACTGGACTAAGGACTAGATGCATATCTGTCTAAAGCTTTTATTGAGTGCAAGTCTGAAACAGTTAATTCTGTTTAAAAAACCCCACACATTTTTTAAAATTGAGCAAGTAGTATTTTTTTCCAAACACACCCTTCAAAATTCACCTTAAAGCTGAAGACAATCAAGAGAAATTTTAAGTACAGAATCAGAGCCATACAAAGAAGAACTTTTAAGAGCTAATAAACACAGAATGCTCTCCGTTATCTGTGGTAGATCAGAAGACAGAGTAAGCCCGTTATGAAAGATGCTGAAGAGGGCAGAGCAGGTTGCACTTGGTACTGAACCAGACTTAATCAAAACCTGACTTGATTCCTGCAGAATTAGTTGGTGCACCTATAAGTGACACTCTCCAGTATTCCAGGTCAGCTAAGTGCAACTCGATTGCTGAGCTGGTGAACCCTCGTGGAGCCAACTGCCAAGGCAGGGACATCTAATTGGCAGCGCAGCAGCCAGCACACATCCAGGCCATGCTCAGCAGTTCCAGCTCAGTGTCTACCCTACTAGACCCAGGCTTGTCCTACACAAACCTGTCTGATACCTGTGCTCCCTCTCGTGCTTCTCGGCAAATGGTGCAGCACTGAGTTAATGGCATACAATGCCAATCTCTTCACTGGTGCTCCAGAAAGTACAAAGGTGGCTAAATGATTTCTATACCAAGGTAGGAAGCAGGATAGCTGTGCTCTTGTGCACTTAGTTTGAACTGGGAAGTTCAACCAGACCTAAGCTGACTCCAGGTGTCAGCATCTGTGGTAATCCGAACTATGAGATGAATTTAACTACTCCGGGACAACTGAGAGTTGGCAGTAACTTGCTTTAATTAACATATACGAGTTTTCTTATGTTCAGTTTACTCAAATTCAACTTTTATTAGTGCTTACCTACTCCCCAGAAAATTCCCCCTTTAAGACAGCTCAGAGTCTTTAAATTAAAAAAACTGTGGAGTTTCTCTTCAGGTTACATATTTTCATAGCAGACTGATTTCTGTACCAGTATTTCCAATAAGCCCTTTTCTACAGTTACCTCTGCTGTTTCCAAACTACATAGCTCTCTTCATTATCATTTCAGTTTTCCTGAGGCCTCCGTCTTGCAAGTCTACCAAACCTCCAGCCTCTCAGCTCTTGCTTTGCATTTTGACCGTGTGATGTTATCATTCTTACATTCTTAACACTCTTCTTGTTATACAGACCGACACATACCTGATTAAACGAGGGACGAGGCCCATCACCCAACAGCGGCGTTTTCTGCTGCTGGAAAGGCAGAGGGCCCTGGGAAGGGTGCGGCCCCCTTGAAGGGTTCGGTTGTCCCTGAGGTCCTTGCATGTTTCCTTGCGGCCCTACTAAAGAGCCTTGTGGAGGTCCCTGCTGGCCTTGTGGACCTGGTGGCCCACGCAATTCCTGTGGCGGTCCTAACATTGTACCTTGAGGTGGGGGTCCCTGGAGGCCTCTCATCTCCTGGGGACCATGTCCTAGTAAACCACTTTGCATATGAGGACCTCTCATTTCTTGCGGATGACCCATCATCATCCCCTGTGGAGTAGGTCCCTGGTTATCTCTGGGTCCTGGTGGACCCTGCATCCCTCTTGGATTAAGTCCCATCAGAGGCCCTTGAGATATAGGGCCCTGCATCCCTTGAGATCCTGGAGCTCCTTGCATGCCATGAGGAAGAGGTCCTTGCATTCCTCGGGGACCAGGTGGCCCTTGCATTCCTTGACCACCCGGGGGACCTTGAGGACCCAAGTGACCTTGTGGGCCAGGTGGACCCTGCGGTCCTAAATGAGTCTGAGACCCAGGTAGACCCTGTGGTCCTAAGTGGCCTTGTGGGCCAGCATTACCCTGTGGACCTGGAGGCCCCATTGGCCCATGAGGCCCAGGGTGTCTCTGCATTCCTTGATGTCCATGTAAATCCTGAGGCCGTGGCATTCCTTGTGGAGGCCCTTGGGGGCCTGGAGGTCCTTGTGGTCCCATGAACCCTTGTGGACCTGCAGCTCCTTGGTGCAGTGGAGGACCTTGAGGTCCCATTTGTCCTTGGGGTCCCGGAGGTCTGAACTGTCCTTGTGGACCAGGAGGTCCCATCTGAGACATATTCATTGGCATCTGCTGAGGTGGAAGGGGCTGCTGAAATCCTTGAGGCATCTGTGACATTGGGCCTTGCCCTGGAAAAGGCTGGGGTCCATGAAGAGGACCTCCTGGAGGTGGCGGCTGCACTTGCTCAGCTTGCTTTTGTGCAAGTCTCTCAATCTTCAATTGCTGTCCAAAAAATGAGACCCAGAAAAATCAACTAAGCACAGAAATATATGTAACAATTAAAAGTCAGAAGCAATCATCTAATTACACAGGAGTTTAAAAAGATTTAGTGCTTTTCTCTTAATTAACAGAAATATCACTGAAGAGATCTACAGATCAGTATTAGCTAACTGAAACGTGGTGTCTCACTGAAGGTTTCATAGCATCATGCATTAAGTACAATATCCTGTTCAACTAAATGGTTTTTTGAAAAAAGGTGAAAACAGTACTGCAAAAGCAAGCTACACATTTTACTGTTGAGGTCCAAATATATCACATACAGCACTAAACCAAATATGCTAATAACTGTCTTTACATACATACCTCCAAGAGTTGTGGGTTTGTGTACTGAAGCGCTGCCATTTCCTGTTCAATCTCTGCCTGTGTCTTCTTTTTCTCCTCCAGCTTAATATCTTCCTTTCTATCGTTCAATGGCTCAGGTGGGGGAGGCAAAGGAACTTTATTCTGCATCCATGCCTATAAAGAATAGTAAACACAAGATTAATTCTATGGAACAATGTGTAGACAACATATTGCTGCACTAGGAAAGGATATGCTGGAACGCTGTGTAGTATGTAGGATATTCAGAAGCTTAAAACAGTGCTCAATAAAACTTCCATATCTTAAAACATCCTATTTTCCAGGAACAGATACAAGATATAAGGGATTTAACCAAATATTTTATGCTTACATAGTAATTAAACTAACTACCGTGGTAAATTATTTTGCACCGGGTGTTGACATAAAAGAGCTGATACTGGAAATCCAAAACACGTCAACGGTCACACACTTTTTGAAGTTGGGAAAATACCAAGTTGTTCTCCTGCTCACTGTGCATCAGGTACTACTTACCTGCTGAAACTGTGCTGGTATTGGTTTTGCATAGGGCACTTTTTTCTGTGGCACCTTCTTTTGGTCCTTTTGCATTACTTCCTCCATTCCCCAATCCAGTCCTGGGATTGTCATTTCAATATCATTGGACTCGTCTTTCCCTTTAGCACCACAGAGACAAAAAATCAGAGTAATGCAGGTTTACAGAGAAATCCTGTTACTCTCTATACAGTTTATTTAGCAAAAAAAGACCAAGAGGTTTTCAACTCTTCCTTCTTTACAGGGGAAATACGCACAATACAGAACTTTAGAAAAAAGCATCTGTGCTACCAAAACATATGAAAGGAAGGAAGGAGCAGTCACACAGTATCTGGATGGCTCAGGAAAATGCTGCCCCATAGCTACTACTTACCCATCTGCTCTTGTTCCATAGCTATTTTCAATTGTTCAGGTATTCCCATCCCAGGAATAACTGCTAGGCTGTTGGGTTCCAGATCATCTACAGAAAAACAATAAATATTTATATTTGGAACATTTTTCTTTACATTATCACTTTATAGCTTTGGATTCTCACATGCTTTTACCATTGGCATCATTACATATTTCACAACTGGTGAGTCATTTTTTAATTCCATACATGAATTACAGGATACTAAAAGAACTGCAAATTCAGATTCATAAATGCACTCCAAAAGGTGAGAAACTATGTCCTTTCAGGAAAGTTACATTTAGGGTAGACGCTCAGAAAAGGAAATAATAACCCATACCCATTCCCATTTTTGCTATAACAATCTATATAGTTTAAAACTTCAATCCAATTTAAGAGCTGCATTTTAATTAACATTCCCAAACACAAAGGAGCAAATAATCAAAAATCTGAAGAAACAGATGCAACCCCAGACATTAAAAGGTCGCTGAGGCATGCCATAGAGCTGGGCAACTCTGAGCAGCCTAAAATTACCAAGATACATCCTTAAGGGGTGGGGGTAAAGTCTTAAGATTTTAGTCAAGGTCAATAATTTGAAAGATTTTCCTGCTGTAGATCAGGACTATGGGAAGTCTTGAAAACATGAAGTTTCCAGGAAGAAAATTAAACTGCAGATATTGCCAGAGGGACAGCCAAACCTCCTTCCTGTGATTGACAGAGCAGGTCTTACCTCCCGGAGCTGTGAAAACAAAAGAAAACTCATTGTTGGAATGGTGATTGCTGATAACATGGAGAGTAAAATCATCCTCGTGAAAAATATCTTTGTCTAGGTAGTCACCAATGCTATAATACTGTTTCATTGTCTTACTCAGAAGCTGCACTCTAGTGTCAGCTAACGACCTAGGCTTGTTCCTGACCCCAACCCTCTTTCTTCCAGATTTTTGGAAATTGCCTTACCGTATTCCACACCATCCTCTGACATCCCAGGCAGCAGATTCAAGTTGTAACGATCTCGCATTTTATCTCCAGGTCGATTTCTAGTCCAAAACTTGCTGTCAAAAGGAAGTTATATGATCTCAATAAAGGGTCAAGAGTATTAACTACTTTTAATCTAATTAGTTCTTTAATTTTTAGTGTGCTATCTTGATTATATAAGGATTTAACTCTTACTAAATCAAGTTCAGCACAGGATCTGAACATTAGGTGTGAGATTCAAACCAAAACCAAAAAAACAACAATTATCATATTGAATTATATAGTTACAATTCAGAAGATACTTCAAAGTGTAACGGGTATAAGAACAAGACACCAATATCAGATCCTCAACAGACAGATATATTTCTAGTCCATTCCTCACACTTCTTGCTCAATTCAAATATATTCTTCATATACAACTAAACTTGTCAATACACACATCCACACACAAAAATTTACTCCATCTATAAAATGCTCCATGTGGACAGCATGTTCAACCTAAAAGCATAAACTATATGCCTCCAAACATGTTTGCAATATGAAAAGACAGACACAACCAGCAGATGATCTGTGGGGAAAAATGCTGTGGAGATAAGACTATTTCTTCAGCAAGAAACTACCACAATTCTTTTTTAAACATTTCTTCAGGAGATTTCAAAGCTCACACAAACCCAAAATCCTAGTATTTTTTAAGCCTTCCTTGGATGAAGGACAAGAAGTTAGACTCTAATTTTAATGTAAAATGTCAGTGCCTTCCCATTTAGGTAAGCTTGTCTCTCTGCTTTGCCCATTGGTTGTGTATCAGAATCATCCCAATCTATTCTTTGTTCACTGACGCCATGCACCTTTCTAGTTTCTAAATGTATGTACATTCCCTTCAATCTTTTCTTTAAACACTTGAAAATACCTGGTGTGATCATTTGAGCCTGAACAGAGAATGTGTCCAAGGGGATGCCACGCCAGACTCCAGATCATTCCTTCATGGGCCATTTCCATTCCACCAACCTCCTTCTCAACCCTGATGCATCAAAAACAGCCAAACCATTCATGACATGTGAATATCTGCTACAGATACAATACAAAACTTCCACTATTGAGATGTTCCTCTTCCTCTATCCCATATTTTGCTAAACTTAAGCCTCTGTTATTCTTCTATTGGGTGAATTGATCGTTCCCAGTTGTTCTTAACTGGGAATTTAGTAATGTAGGGATTTTTAAGTGTACATTTAGAAACAAAATAATTGTTAACATCTCAGAACAACTTCTAAGAAACTAGGAGTTTTAACTATTCATCACCCTCTCAACAAAAGACTATTTTCTATGCAAGCAATTGTGTCCTTTAAAATACATCTGCACAGGAAGACTTCTTCATAGATGAAGCATATTCACAAACCTCCTCAGGTATAGAGAAGAACTATACCATAAACATGCATGTTAAATATAGATTCAAAGGTGAAAAGTGTATTTTATGTTTAGCATAATAGTTTGCACATCTGACCAACACCTTTCCAATGTACTGATGAAAATGCCACATACCCAACATGCCAGAACAACAAAGAGCCATCAGATCCTCCACTGGCAAACAGCCCTTCATGAACAGGATGCCAGGCCACAGCTGAAATACAAAGTAAGCCACAATCAATGTGTAACACTAGGATTTCTAATGAATGGAAATAAGGATCTCAAAACCTTTAATTTTTAATCCAAACTTGTTAAGAAAAATCCACACAATACAACAAATTCTGACCTGTGGCCTCCTTCTTATGACCCCTGAAGACCTGAAGTTCTTCTTTCAGATTACGAATGTCAAAGAGCTTACAGAGATGGTCACGAGATGCTGTTAGCAGCCAGTTGCCATTCAGATTCAGTTTCACCTCCATCACTGTGTTTTTATGAGCATGTCTGAAAGCAGAGAAACACAGTTTGTCCAGATACTGATTTCTCGGA